TTGCACTGATGAAGTCTGCATATAGTAGAAGATATATATAGTAGATAATAGTAGTAGTAGTAGTAGATAATAGTAGATAATAACCAACGGAATTAAAAGGAAGTAAACCAACACACTCAAAGCTCTTCATAAAGGGATTCCGTTAAGAGGTTCGACAAATTTAAAAGAATGAAATGTTTGTTTACGTTCCATTATTTACTTCCAATATGGATTACATCTCGTGTAAAAGTTGTTATTTCTAAGTGTGCAGTTATCAATTGAATAAACATAGGATTCACGAATAAAATATTTATTTCAGTTTATCGTGACGACATTTATCGCGTAAAGTCCTCGGTTTACTGCCCAAGCATGGCTCATCGTATGTTTTGCCAAAATTGTTGTCGCCGTTCGTATGAATGGTTACAACAACAACTCGACCATAGATGGTGTGATGTGATATGAGGGGCTCGCTGGTCTTATAGTGACCGTTTTTGCTTACTGAGCAGAAAATCATGGAATTTATCACAGAAGCCTCTTCTCATCCACATTCACCTTATTTATTAATACGAACACGTCACTTGAATACAGCGTAATATTTACCAAAACCATTCCTGATCCAAACTCAACCATTATATTGAACATTCCAGTTAGTTTTAGATCACCAGTTTATACTCATTGAGAATGAATGCTAGTCCCAAGCATGTAGGGAGAAACAGACTCGAAAAATATGAACGTCAAAAGGAGCCAGAATCAAGCTGTCACGAACTATCGTTGGGAGCCAAGCATTCTGATGATGCCTTTCTTACAGTTGAACAAGAATAAACAAGGCGATATTGAAATTTTTCGTGAAGTAATTTATGACAAACTGTCGTTTCCAACTATCCATTTTTTTTAATTCATTAATTGAATATACTCAAATCATTCTTGAAAGATGCCATAAACCAAGGTTTTTGTCAAAATATTGAGTGGCATAATACAGTTCAAAATAGACAACTACATTTTCTCACTGCACACTGAACAATCTCAAACAACCACTACACGCTCAAAGCAAAACAAGTTATTTTGCTACTCTTATTTTGATTTGATTTCAATGGCACAAATTTTCATGACTGGACAAGGAATCATTGGATATAAGGATCTCTTTGCGTGAGATTTGTCGAAGGCTTGTTTTTTTTAAGAGGGTCTGCAAAGTCAGAAGGATTTCTATAATGTGAGAAATTAAGAGGAATGAATTTTCCCCGAGGTGGCAATGTTTTTTTGGTAGTCATCGTTAAAATTCACAGAAAATCAATTATTTTCAATAATTACAAGCAGTAATCAGGATTTTACGTGATTGAGTACATAGAGGTAGTAAATATCAACCTTCTGGTAAATCTTTTACTTCGAAATATGTGTTAATTTACTGTAAAATCTTTCAAACAATTCATTCCCATAAACTTTACTGGTTTTTTACTACCAAGAGAGTAAGCTACTACGTCTCTTATACAATTCTGTCTCTCGCATAAGCTTAATCTCTCAACATGCCATGTATTTTGATGACACAAAATGTGTGATTTTCTTTCACTGACTAAAAAATAGAGTACCGAAATCAGTAAATTGATCACAGAAATGAAATTGATCATTATGGGCTGCGTTTTTCGTTGCCACGTAAAAAATTTTTGGTGATATATTTCAAGAAAAATCTTGAAAACATTTCATCATGGGACTCTAATGGTTGCTTTTTCGAGTTTCTCATACCAAAAGAGTAGATTTTACTGCATTAATTAACATTTTATTTAACTGATGTTCATTAGCAAAATAAAACAGTCATAGGGTTGTAACAATTGTTGCCATTAACTTGAAAGTGGTATTGTTGAATAAATCAAGCGTCTGTACATCTGCATTATTAAAAGAAAAACTAGTGGGAAATGTATTCAATATTGAGAAATCAATGATTTAATGTAAAATGCATAGTGATTTTTAAAGATATTGTCTACATTTAGGCGCAACAATGCTATTTAAGAAATCTTGTTTTAATTTTTAGGGTTAACTACCCAATTTCCGGCCCTTAGTATTTCTGAATCTTGCGTAGTTTAGCAGCAACCGGAATGTTATTGTTACTGATGGCTTCCAAATTGATGTACCTTTCCGTACGTACCGTAAGATTTGATAAAGAGAAACAAATTGTTGAGATATTGTTAAAAGTCTAACACTGATTCTTGACGCCAAACTCGGCCTACGGATTCTAAACTCAGCCCAACGCATTGAAACGCCAATGAATTTATTTCGGCCTATCGGATGAAGATAAAGATTGATTCGGTTGGAGCGCTTCATTTGTATTTAAGAATATTGGGTGTTAACATTCATATCACGCGTTCTCATTGACTTCCTTCTGTTGCATTTGAACTAATGTATCGTACCAAACGCATAATTGACCTGTTAATGCCGAAATCATGGATTTATTTGATGTTGTCTGCTTGATAGGCCCAAAATGGACGCTTAGGCTGAAGTAGTTCTCTACCCTAATACACTTCGCACAATGATTAAAGCATTTGATTCAGATTCCGGGAACCCACATTTAATGAGAATAATTATAAAGAAATTTACTCCAAAGTAATTTGAAAGGTTGATCAATTTCACCCCATATCGAAGTTTTCAAATCTAGGATTTCCAAAATGACTTAAGAATAAACAAAACAATCAATATGAAAAGTAATCCTGCAGAACGATAGAGGTGTCAGAGCTATTGATTGAAACACCATCAGTTTGTGAATTTCGTTCGTTGTCATGTTGCTAGCTCGAATGCGTTATAAAACTGCAGGTTCTCTAATGTATTCATCAATAGATAATTAGCCTTAATCCTTGGGCTTCTTGCACTTAAAGGTTCGTCACCTAATATAATAGTCGTTGACGAACGTTTTGTTTTGAGTTTGAAAAATCAGCACATCAATTTGATGCATAATACTGAATTTTATGAAAGCTACTACCGAAGCATGCCCAGTAGACAGATGCAAAATTCGACTTTTTCGCTCCACAGTGCTTAAATGGTTTCAAATTGGGTCCTGATTAGCCTCCCAAAGTTACAACTCATTTGGTTAGAAACAGACTTCGCACAAGCCATTTAAAGTTTGCATGTAAATTACTATGGGAAATCTCAACTTTTTGTTCAGTGCCTTCTAGTCTTTTTTCCATATTGAGCTGCGAAACAGTTCGATAGCCATTCTTATAGAGCTACAACTTTGCTGAAGATTGTTTCTATGTAAAACGAGACAGGAAAAAGTTATTAATTATTTAAGAGATTGGTAAACTTATGACATGATCAAGCAGCTGCTCTGTAGGCAACACTGTATTTTGCAGTGTGACATAGTAGCCATGATTTTTGTGTCCTATTCAACGCCCCAGAAACACCAATGTTGCCTGCTGAGCATTTGATTGAGCATGATCATAAGACATCAGCGCATTGAACCATTGATAACTTTCGATCCTTGCATTTAATCAAAAAGTGGTCTTGGGCAAAGTTATAGCTGCAAAAATTTCCTACAAGCACAGTTGAAGACTTTTGAAGCAGACCGATATGGTGAATTATAACAGTTATAACAGCTTCAGGGCACATTTAGGTTGTATAAGCCATTCCATTAAATCTCAATAATTATTCATTAACTCGTTGTGGTTTATTGCGTGCAAATAATATAGTTATATCTTTATATTTGTTATTCACCATCCTTGATGTTTGTTTGTTTGCATATGCTGAATTGTCAAGAGATGGAGAACCTTGAGAAAGTCATACCCAAGCATGGCATGTGCTTTAAACATTCTGCTGAACATACGGCGCTATTCTGAATGATCCTCAAAGCAAATCTATGATTGTCGTAAATTGGTTTGAACCAAAATACATGTGCTTGACTGAAAAATCTTTTGCTGAGTTCTGAACACTGAATTTTTTAATCACCTGAATTTGCAACTATTTTACACACAAACAGTAAGAGGTATTTATTATTTTAGACCACAGTGTGCCATTATCCTCTTACTTAGCCTGAGAAGTTTGTTTAAAGATGAGTGTTTCTAATTTAAGACTATTCAGAATTGGTGACAGAACAGTCCTTTAATTATGAAATTGCATTGAAGCTGGAATGTACTTTAAAACTCTTGCTATGACAAAATTAAATGAATTATTATTCGTGAATTGAATAAAGAACTAATTTGATCAAAACATGATTTTTGTATGTGAAAAAATACTCTGATCGGCTTCGATGATCGATTCTGTAGTTCATGTAGAAAATGGTAGTCTTTTTTTGCGGAATTCAATGTCCAAAGTAACCTAAGCAGGTTCGTTGCTTGAAATCTTTCGATTTCCACAAGAGCAAAATTCTGTTCTATTTTCATTATATACCCAGCTCCACCACAAGCTTGCATGAGATCCATTGCCTTATTTTCCCACTCCAATACGCATCATCAATGGGATAATCAGCGGTTACCATTCCCGGAAACGAACATGCATGCATTCCACATTCCACAAGCGTTCTCTCCAAAACCCACAAAGACTGCAAAACGCCCAAACAAATATGCCTCAAATAAGCTGCTTCTTCCCACCACTCGCATCTGAGTTTTCGAAATTGTAGATACGCGGAGAATGCAACAGATGGTATTCCTCCTACAGCTACTTGAATTAGGAATTGGAAATGAACCGGAATTAAATCACAACTGCAATCTGCCTTCCGAAAGAATGCCTGCCCTCGCAACTCATAGAAGTCGGTACAAAACGAGATGATTATTTTAATACTGTCTCCTCTAAATAGCTTCTTCTAACAACCGCGGATTTTTCCTCTTCCAGAGCAATGTGTACCGGCACCTTCATTGGAACGTGTGCTGCTCGGTTCTGTTTTTATGTCAAAGAAAAATATTCAAAACCTCCTGCCTACCAGTTTCGAACGATGACGACGCACGTAGCGATACAGAAGAGAATATAAATAATAACAGTAATAAGTGCAAAAATAAATGGAAAAGAAGTTCAACTGCACTGGCACGACGACTTTGGAAGAAACCTGGCGTCCTCTCTCGCTCCGATGCAAGAAACTGGTAGCGTTTGCATTCCCTCGGATCGTAACGGCTGTCACTGCTGCTGGTACTGATGTTGCCCTTTCCACCGCAGACTGGTGGTAATTGTTGACCGTTCGGGTCCCCTTCGGATACTGGATCTCACGTGCGTATGTGTATGCACACACAACAAGTATTGAATAATAAACGTTGATTATGCTGATGATCGTGTAATAAAGTCCCATCGATGCACACCAGGAGGGGCCGAAGTTGGGTGGGCGCAGGGGGGATGACACCGCGTACGGAAAGCGTAACGACTCCGGAGAATGTCACTATCATTATTAAATTGCGATCGCGCGGCGATCGCGGATCTTCTGCCTCTTCTTCACAGTTGTCAAAGCTCTTCTTTTGATTCTTCTTCTTCTTCGTCGTCGTCATGTCGGATCTCGTTCGAGAATGGAGCGAACAATTTTCATTTACTTTTTCATCCACTTTGGTAGAGATAGCCACTGTCATTACCGGCTGGGAAAATGCGAGACAGGGCTTCTTGATCGATGTAACAATTATTTCCACCAAGAAAGAGTACGACGACGATCGACCTGCAGCACTACTTTTTCTTCTATCTTCCAAAGACTTGTTTCACCACAGCGGCACACTTGAATTTGCATTTGATTTGTGTTTGTCATTCCTGGGACGACGACGACGGAGGTGACTTCTTTCTTTTGTGTGTTAACACATGTTGTTTTCAAGCTATTTTCTTCTACTCTGTATGTAACTTGAACTTCATTAATTTTCCTCTTCTGCTGCCTTGGGTATTGAACTGCTTGATGTTGTCGGTTTTTTTTTTTGCCGAAGTTGATGGGTTAAGAAAGACGATATCACTCTCACTCACTTGCTATAAGCGATCGCTGTGCTCCGATTTTGCTTTGAACAGACAGTAGCAACACTTTAGTTGTTTCTTCAGCTCTGGAATGTCACTTGTTCTATTTTTCTTGAGGTTTGAGGTTTCGGGTGAGAGCGAGAGAACAGAATTGCACCTTGTTTTATGTTTCGTATTGTTTACAGGACGTCGGGGTTGGGTCTTAGGATCTATAGGGGTCATTTTATACACGTCACGTCTTCGTTTCGAGTACGGATCATAATTTAAACTGACTTAACGATAAATATCACATTTGTTTCGCGTTCGGGGGAAAATTCCTAAAATTCACCTAATCAGTTCATCGATTATTTTACAAAAAGGGGTCTCACTATATCACACTGTAGGCCGGGGTCATATGTGGATCCCCACGGTCCGGGGCGAGGCATTGCCGGCCCCCCGTTGCTGTTGCTCCTGTTGTTGCTGCTGCTGTTGCTGCTGCTGCTGCTGCTGTCGCTGATGTTGCAACAGTTGCGGTGGCTGTGGTTGCTGCACAAGTCCCGGCAGCGGAAGTGGTTGCTGCTGCAGAGAAGAATGCTCCTGCTGCTGTTGTTGCTGCTGCCTCAGTCTGGGGTCCGGCTGCGGTGGCTGCTGCTGTTGGAGCATGATCAACTGGTTACTGGTGTTATTCCTATTATTTGGTGTTCGAGTAAGCTGATAGTTGTTTCGAATGTTGGTCGAATGAGTCATGCTGATCGATTGCTGCTGACGACGCCTTTGGTTGTTTGGCACGTCCGGTAGGGCAAATCGCAGCTTCTCCCAGAACAGCTTATCACCCCATTGAAGGTAGGTGTTGGTTTTCAGATATAACCGAATGTCCGGATCCAGATCTTTCTGAGGAACCTCTCCGAGCAAGATCACAATCAGCCGTCTCCGTCGATCTCGCAACACTTGATGATGGGCAGATTTGAACTCGAACCTACACCATTCGGATTTGATAAAATTCTCCGATAGGACCATGATCGTTCTCCGCGATGACTCCACTGCTTGCACGATCGTGTCCGCTATATACGCACCCACGGGAAAGTCCCGATAGTGCAAGCACAACTTGTACGCAGGATCACCATTCTCCAGCATCGGTGCCAACTCCTCCGCCACAAATGCCTCATCTTTCGAACTGTACGAAACGAAGGCATCAAACAGCTTATCTCGCTCGTTCTTGTCCATATCGGCATTCCGGTAGAACAACCGCACACCAAAGCGCGAATGAAACCAGACACGCATCTCCTGCCGAAAAACGAACACAATCAGCGTCACTATGATGATCACGGAGAAGCCACAGAGCGCAGCCACCAGCAGCGGGATATAGCCTTCGATCGGCGGTGGCGATAGCACCGTCTTGCGCGACGTCAGGTTTCCGTTGATGATGTTATCGAGTGGGACCGCACCGCTGCACAGTGTTGTGCTGTTGTCCAAATAAATCAAGAAACCAGCAACACCACCCTGCGACGACTCCCCGCTGCCTTCCAACGGGACTCCCCTCGAGCTAACCGTCACAGCTCCGGCAGATCCATTCACCGCTCCTCCAACCACCAACGCCGTGTCATTGCCGGACGTGATCGTTACCGAACAACGCACCTTCAGTTTATCCCGCACAAAGTCATACGTCTTCAGATACTCGTGGAACTTTTCCACATACTCACAATCACAAGACCATGGATTCGCTGCCATCCGCAAGTCGGTCAACTGTTTCGGCAAATGCCACATATTGAACTCCACGATCCGATTATGATCCAACCTCAGCACCTTCAGGCTAGGCAAATGATCAAAGCTATGATTCGCAACCGCCACGATCCTATTGTACTGCAGCAGAAGCTCCTTTAACCGATCCAGCCCCACAAACTCAAACCCATTCAGCTCCCCGATCTGATTATGATCCAGCTGCAAAATCTCCAACTCCTTCAGTCCATAGAACGTCCTATTGCTAATCACCTCGATATTGCTATTATTCAAAAACAGAACCTTTAACTTCTTCCGACCCAAAAACGCATGACTGCTCAACGTCCTAAAGTTATTCCCATCCAAATAGATCTGCGTCGAGTCCATCGGGATCTGCTCCGGCAACTTTTCCTCGTACTCGGCCCTCGAGCAGTCCACAACATTTGACGTCCAGCTCTGATCGTGATAGCATGTACACCTCGCCGGGCACTCCATCTTACAATCGCACGCGTAGAAATCACAGCAATGACACAGCGCAAAGCAGTGCGTCTCGTACTTGCACAGGAACTGATTCGGCAGCGCCTCCACCAACGGCACGTACGTCCTTCCCCTATTGTACAACAACTTGCAATAAATACTGTCTAAATCCATCAGCTTTGGCTGTGTCCTCGAGTCCACGTTGTTCTTCTGTAGCCAGTTCAAATTACAATCACACTGATACGGATTTCCTCCTATGTAAAACTCGGGCAGTGGCCGGTCATCTGGCACTGCCGATATCCGCAACGCATTCGGATCCAACGTGGTAATCTTGTTCCCAAACAGATCCACCCTGGTCAAATTCGGCTTCTTGAAAAATGTATACGACTGCACCTTAGATATTAGATTATCATTCAAGTACAACAACTCCACGCTATTCGGAATGGCACTCCCGGTGATCTCCGTCAGCTGATTGGAGCTCGCATCGATCGTACTCAGCGCCAGCTGACTCTCGATCTCGAAGTAATTTCCCAACTCGGCAATTTTGTTTGCATGGATATCCAACCATTGCAACCCGGTCGGAATCAGCGCATAGTCAAACACCTCCAGATGGTTGTCGGAAATGTTGAGCCACACCAGATTCGGTAGCTTGGTGAACAGCCCGGAGATATCCGTCAGGTAATTCCCATCCAAGCGGATCGCCTGCAGATTTGTATTGTTATCGAAACACGCCGCTTCCACCTTTTTCAGTCGATTCTTGGACAGATTCAGAATCTGAAGCGATTTCATCGCATCGAACGTGCCTTTCTTGATCAATTCGATATTGTTCTCGGTCAGTCGCAAGCCGTACATGTGGATCATATCTTTGAAACTGGCGTTGTCGATATTGCTGATGTGGTTTTCTCCAAGATCGAGTGTTCGCAGCAATGGGACGTCGTACAAAGCGTCCGGAACTTGCAAGAGTTTGTTACCGTTCAAGTGCAAATCATGCAACGTCGACAGGTTCTTGAAGGCAACTCGATCGATCCGGGATATCCGGTTGTAGTCCAGCGAGAGCAACGTCAGCCGGCTCAGACCTTGAAACGTAAAATATTCGATGTTCGAAAGGCGGTTGTTTGAGATGACCAGGGTGTGCAGGGCCGTCAGCTCAGCGAATGTGTTTTCATGGATGGTTTCGATGGAGTTGTCCTGTAGGCGGAGGATTTGCAGGCTGAAGAGATCTCGGAAGATGGCCGGTTCAAGCTTGGAGATTTTGTTATTTGTCAGATCCAGGAGGATGAGACGAGAAAGGCCCTTGAAGGTGGCAGGGTTAATCCACTCGGAGGTGAGTTCATTGTTGGAGAGGTCGAGGACTAGGAGTTGTTGGAGTTCGCTGAAAATTCCTGGGGCCAGAACGTTGATGCTGTTGTTCTGAAGATAGATCTCTTTGATGTGCTTGGCTTCGGAGAAGAGTTCTGGGGGAAGGTTAGATAGTCGGTTTAGGGAAATGTCCAATTTCGATAGTGAGAGGAGTCCTTCCAGTGCTCGATCGGCGATGAAGTTGAGCCCGTTATTCTGGAGACGGAGTTCTGTGAGCTTCCCTAGTCCGGAGAAGATGGCCGGTGGTAGATTATCGATGTTGTTGTGGGATAGATCAAGTACCGTGACTGCTCCACCGCACTTTTTTGACAGTCGCGTACTGAGGGAAGCACTGAAGTGAAATACCGATAGATCCCTGAGACGATTCTGCGTCACATTGAGATACTGGAGCTTGGTAAGTGGGCAGATCAAGCCATCCGGTAGGGACCACATGTTGTTCTGGCTGAGGTCTAGCCGTTCGAGCTTCGATAGCTCGGAGTTGAAGACATGCGGTGCGATTTCCAAACTGACCGATGACCAATCGGTGTTGTGCGTTCGCAGGGTCAGGTTCGTCAGCTCCTTGAGACCCCGGAAGGAACCATCGCTAAGGTTTGCTATTTTACAGTACTCGATCGAGAGTGATCGTAGTTCGGACAACTGCCGGAAGCTGCCCGGGCTAAGGCTGGATTGGAAAAACAATCCATCGTTGCACTGCAACCGCAGTCGGACGGTATTTTCCGGATGAAGCACGCTAAAGTTTGTATTCTCCAGTTCACTGTTGATAGTTCTTAGTCTACACACGAGGGTTAGATCGTCTTCACTGTAACCGGACCACCGGCATTCGTCGGGGGCTTGCGATAGGAGCGATTTGCTCAGCGATGCACCAAAGACACCGAAAATGGTGCCAAACAGGACCGACAGCAAGGCCGGCGAGGGACGCATCTTCGTAGGGTGGCAATTTTGAAGCCCAGGGTCACTTGGGGTGGCCCCACTTGTTTGTTTTCGCTTTCTAGATTGATTTCAACCCCATTCACTACACTCGCGTTTTAATCGGCAACTAATTTGGAAAACACCGCTACATTTGCTCTGGACATGTCTGATTAAATAATTGTTTCACTGTTCGCTTTGCACTGTCTTTCCCGAACCAGATGCTGCTTCCGAGCGAGATTCGAGACCTCACTCGCTCTGTTTTGATCCCGATGATCGTTGTTTTCGGTGCGTTTTCTTCACCTTTTCGCTCTGCTTTGCCCTTTATCAACGCTTAAAGAGGCGAATAAATTTCACTTCACATTATCTTATTTCGTTATCAATTTATTTTCCTTTCTTCACTTTTTCCTTGCGCTGCGTCGGGAGATCACTTTCGAAAAACTTGACCGAATCCTTTTTTCCCTTCCACGTACGTTCTTCTACAGCACTCAACACTCATCCCAACGATGGGGCTACGACGACGATGGCGACGACGCACACATAATAACAACAAAAAACACCTCTCGATCTGTTTCTTTTGCGTTGCGGCGCGACCCGTTTTCTTCACCCGGCTCTGTTCTCTCTTCTGTGTTCTTTTTTTCTTTTAAATTAAATGATCCTGATAAAATAATCCATAAAAGTTGATCGTAAATTTAAATTTACAGTCGCGATAAAACTGAATAATCCAATTTCGTTCTTCTGCACCGCGTTTCAAATCAGGTCTAGCGGATGATGGCAGTTCGGTCCGTCGAAGCACGAGTTGCCGAGAGATTTTTTTTATTTTTTTCGAGCATCAATCGTCAGAATTCTACGATCGTCAGACACTTTGAACGTTTAGCAAGGATTGCAGTAGTCCTTCACTGCTCGACACAAAGGATACACACAGAACAAATTCGGTTCAACCGACAAACGAGCGTAGATTCGCGCGTGCGCTCCGTTCAAAGTCAACTCGTAAACTGAGCGACAGCAGGATCCACTCGTACCGTTGATCGCGATCGTTGCTCACCTGTGAACCGGTGTGGGGTGATCCTCTCTCATTCTCTTCCGTGCACCGGGAGCGGAACACCTTTGCGAAGGTAGAAAAAACTGAGCACACATGCAATTAAAACTGGTTCTTGGCATTCTTGCACAAACACCTTTCTCTGGGTAGCGTTCTTTCTGCGCGAGAATGAGATGGGGCGCCTGTAGATCGGACAGGTTAACGACTCTCGCTCACCTGGACGGCCATACTTGCACTCTCCCGGGAATGGTGAATCAAGGCGAGTGAAAGAGCAAACTCTAGGTGGCAAGGGTACTCTCTCCTGGGAGAGTAATCGTTTGTTACTCTCTGAGCGAGAGAGATAAATTCGCAAACAAAACAAAAAACGAAAAGGTTCAGGTTTTTGTTAGGGGTCTCCGAACATGAGTTCATGTTCATGTTTTTTGTTCTCTCGTTGAACTTGATCAGCAAGGGTTATGTCTCTGCTTTTGGTTGTGACTGTTCGTATGCGTCGTACATTTTTTTGAAATTTATTTAGAAAATCTATTTGAATATCAAAAACAAGTAGGTCATCACGAACAGCCGTAGACAACGACTTCATAAATCAACTGCCATTTTCCCGCGATGTGATAGCCAACCGAGGGAAATGCCAACTTCTCAGCTCCCGTAGAAAATAGACAGCTGAAAAGTGAACACATAGCGAAAAAAAATAACTTACGACAACATTATTATTGTTGGTGCCCCATGCAACTACCAACAGCAGCAGCAGAAAGACCTCCTATTTGCGCGCTATTACTCACAAATCAGATGTAGTTCATTAGATAAGATAATTATACATCCGTCGGCGTCGTCGTCGTAGTCGTCGTCTTTTCTCCATCGCCGGTTTGCTGGTTCGAGGGTAAAACACTATTTGCAACCCCAACCACCTAGCGCTGCTGTGCCGACCGTAACAAACAAATCGATGTCAAATGCGACTGAAAGGCGTGTAAAAAATGAAATGGTAAAAAACAGTTGTTGTCGTCGTTGATCCATCTGCAAGTAGGAACCACAACCAGCCCCAGCGATGGGTTTTGTGATTGTGTGACACAGTGCCTAATGCCGAAGCTGTCGAGTCGAACGATGTTGTTGTTGTTGCTGTTGCCGGCAGCGAGAGGCCTCAGGTCTGGGAAAGTCGGGGTTTCATTTACATGATAAAATTTGCTATCCAGCAGAGTGGCTTTGATCGGTAGGATAAAGTGATAAAAAGCTCGGTTGACAATGCGGAAATGATCTTTCTCGCTGGCATCTGTTTGTATCGATTCGAGGGGGGAATAGGGGGAGGGGGCACTATTCAATTGACATATCGCAGAGTGAGTAGTTGTTTTGTGGGGCAAATTTTTATTGAACCAATAACGGTTATTCTGCACACAAATTGACTCAGAAGCACAGTTGATTTGGTATGTTGAGTGGAACAGAGCAATAAGCAGATGCTATTGTGGAATCATAATCATTGGTCGTATCAATTTCAAATAATCCTCTCAAAAATGCTATTCTTGTTCTACGGAGAAAAGTGAAATTGAACAAAGTATTCGATTGATAGATCAGGATCCAGCCGGTTTAAAGAATTTTGTTTTCTTTTGTACACACTTAATGGCCTGCTCATCATTTATTTCAGGATCCTTTCATTAAAATTGATAAAATGCTTGCCTTATGAAGAATTAATTAAACTATAGAAAAAAAAAATTGAGATTCGAAATCTTCAAATGGGTTAATCTCCGTAAATAAGGCCTTAATTGCGTCCTAATGAGTAATTTGAGTATCGAAATTTTTTAATGCAATTAACACCAAAAATAAGGCGTTTATCACGTTAATAGGGTTTGGGTATTCAAATGCGTTTTTTTTTTTGTAAATAAGACCTGATTCAGGTTTCAGCAGTGTTTTGGTGATCTAAAGCTTTAAATGCGTTTATCGCGGTTAATAAGGCCATGTCCGAGTAGTTCACGCTTTATGCGAGAAGATCACGGATTTTTCTTGGGATTCTAGAAAAAAAAAATCCAGTAGTATTTTTCCAGGAAATTTAAGATAATTCTTTCAGATATACCACGATTCCCAGAATCTAGGTGAATTCCTCTTGAATCCCTGAAAAAAAACTTCAGAAATCCTTAGAGCAGGCCATGACTAACTAGCTTCAAAACCGATTATTTTATTTATTTTATCAAAGCTAGTGGATACAGAAATATCGATCTACAGGCGCTTCTCATACAAAAGTTGCGCACCAGAAAGCATTGGATAATTTTGGACGGCCATTCATTACTGTGCGTTTATATAATTAAAATTAGGAGCTCTAGAAGTGAAAACATATTGCTATATTCCTAGAGATAAAAACGAACGCTTGACAAAAATTCCGCTGATTAACAAAGAATTTTTTTTAAGATCTTCAGAGAAGTTCTGATGATTACTACAGGAAAGTCCAGAACGATTGGGAAGTTTTAAGTTCCTTAACGTTAGGTTCCATAGATTTTTAAGGGAAAGTATGATTATACGGAAAATTCCGAGAATTTTAATGAAGTTCCGAGAACTTAATGAAAATCTTGAAAAATGTTCTGTAACGTATGCGTGATAATGTTTGCACCATTGAGCAATGTCAAAATTTAAAAAAAATCTCAAAAATTTCGTTTTCGAGTTTTTTCTATTTATTCAAAGGGGGCATTTTTCTCAGAGTCTTAAACTATGTTAATTATCGATCGAGTTTCCCCTTGCTGCAATAACGGCCTCCACACGCTTCCGGACTGCACGGCAGGTTCTAATAATGTAGTCTGGATCTATTTCTCTCCAGGTACGGGTCAATGCTTGTCTGAGGCTTGCTGTACTCGGGTGCCGTTTAGAACAGGCCTTGGCCTTCATGACACGCCATATTGAGAAATCCTGCGGATTAAGATCATGGCTGGATGGCAGCCACATATCTTTCGCAACCATATCTGAGTGCGTTTCGAGGTGTGGCATACAACATTTGGCTTCGGACCGTACTGTTCTTTGATCCATGGAAGAACATACTTACTTAAAATCCCGATGTAGACCTCCGTGTTGACCTTGTCACCTTCTGCAATGATTACCGGGTCCATTTTTTGCCATCGGAAGCCACCAATCCAAACACCATAACGCTAGCAGGATGCTTGGCCAGATACATGTTCTTGTGCTTGTCGGCCACGTCTTTTACCGGAAGAGAACTAATATACCGGTCGGTTCTGGAATTTGATACGGGATCGACGGTAAACATGCTCTCGTCGGTGAACAGGATTACCGGATTTTTTCGCGGAAGTTCAAAATTTTCTTGCATCGTTCGACTCGTAGCTCCCAGATGCGGTTGGTAATCATGTGAGTTTTTTCCGTGCCCTCGACTTCGCCCCGCAATATTCCTTTACGATCTTTCGTGCCATAAAGTCACTGATCCCGTGTTCCTTTGCCATTTTCCTTATTGAACGCACTGGATTCACCCGAATCTTCCTTTTGATAGCAGCGATAACCCTCGGAACCCGAGTTGACCTCGGACGACCTGTGGCCACCTTCGCGGATAGTTGTCCTTTATTTTCTCGGTCTAAAACCCTTTTGACGGTCCACCGGGACACTCCCACGGCGATTGAAATGTCTTTTTGCGAAATTTGCGCGTGGGACAAATCACGAATACGCTGCCACTTCGTCATGGTGCAACTATCAAACTAATGTCATTTTCATTTTTGCGGTGTAGCACTGGTGTAGTGTAAGCAAGAATAAGCACGAGTCTTTGACAGCTCAACATCATTTGTTTGTAAACAAAGGTGCATCCTATGTCTACACCCTAAAATATTTCGGTGTACGGCAGTGTAGCACCGGTGTAGCTACACCGCAAAAACGACATAAGTAAATCATTTTTTTTAGACAGCCTACTACGGTATGAGCTATAGGTTACGTGCATGCAAAGAAAACCAAAGCATTGTATGCACAGGTGAAACGGGTACGATGGTGCAAACATTATCACGCATATAGTAGCCTAGTTCAATTAGTATTAGAAAAATTATCTTCAAGCAGTTCTAAGAATTACATAGAAATTCCAAGAATTTTAAGGAAATTACGAAAACTTCAGGGTTGTTCCGAAAGCTACACACTTAAATTTATTTGCCAATGATTTGCACAGCCGAGCTCCCGGCAAACCTATTTTTCCGAGATCTCATCAATAGTGACGTTTGGTTGGAAAATGTTTTGCTGAATCTCAGCAAACAAACGTCATGTTGGCTGAGATCTCAGTAAAATGTAATGCCCAGCACTCGGCTGTGCAAATCTCGGCAAAAAAATCTGAGCTGGCTAATGTGGTGTTTACATCTGTGCTGATTTGCTAGCGCTAGTGTTCTACACAGAAAAAATTCTGAATTTTAACTATCGCGTAAAATCTCCCTTCGTTTAATTTGAGCTAAACTTGGCATAAACAGCGAAATCGTTTACAAGCTTGCATACAATATTGCGAAATTATACGATATTACGCAAAAAATTTCACGAAATATCGTGTAAATTTACGCCAAATCTAGCGTTAATTTTATGTGCGCTATATCTCGCATGAATTTTTCAAACGGTGTAGTGCTGTGCAAAAAAGTAGCCAGCATAAGTTAAACAGGGCATCAACGTCTACCAGCATGAGATTTCGGGAGCAACTGAAATTTGTGCTATACCGTTCAAAAAATTTATGTAAATTTCTGCGAGATTTAGCGCACATAAAATTAACGCTAGAGTTGGCATAAATTTACGCGATATTTCGTGTAAATTTATGCGCAATATCGCATCAATTAGCAATACTGTATGCAAGTTTGTAAACAATTTTGCTGTTAATGCCAAGTAAATCTCAAAATTAAACGAAGGGAGATTTTATGCGATAGTAAAAATTCAGATTTT